AGAAGAGAAAAGGGGGAGAAGCTACTTCCAGTCAAGGTACAGGAGCACAAGATGTGGCATTTGTAGCAGCCATGCGTCCACAACCCCAAGGCCAATGGGAGTTTGGCATTAGAAGCATACCCCCGCATACTAAGGATTGGTACAGGAGTTGTAGGTCTAAACATGTACATCCGAAAGCCGCTATCCATGAGCGCCGACTGCAAGCAAAGTACCAGGCTATTTAGAGGGGCATCCATGATTCGGGGTTGAGCTATGTCTTTAAGAACACAGGGGATATTAATCTCAATCTAGTGCGGGAATTCTATGCAGGGTTTGATCCACAGGATACCGAACAGCTGGTGTCGATTCATGGACGGTTGATAAACTTCAGCCTCAGTCATATGTAACTTTTTAGGTGCTCCGGATGTTCCTGTGGAGCCATTGGACTACTTCATTCGCCGTCCTACATATAGAGAGCTGAGACACACGTTATGTGGTGTCAATTCTACGGTAGTATGGATCCGTGATAAGAAAACAAATCGGCACAAGAAGTTCCCCAAAAAGAAGATGAGGGCGGAGGCTCAAGTTTGGTTGAAACTGATTAATGCACGGCTCCTACCATGCAATCATGACTCGCTCATTAGCCGAGAGAGGACTTGTGTGCTCTACTTCCTCATGACGGGTCAAAGGGTTAATGTGGGTCATCTGATCCGCTACCAAATGTCTTCGGTAAGGACGAGTAAGAAGGTCGATCGAATGCCATTTGCCAATTTTTTGACTCAGTTCTTAAGACACGAGGAGGTTGAGGAGGAGCCAGAGTTTGACCACAGCATTGATTAGCCCATATGACAGACGGACATTACTAGCATCCGGGTGAAGGAAGAGACTGCCATGCCATCATTGATAGGTGCCGAGCGCAATGCTCGTGATGATAGTTTTATGGCCCATTTATATGGGATGATGGATTTGCAACTGAGGATAGGGGGTCGACCGGCTACTATAGCAGAAAGGGACATATTGGAGGAGCAGTTCCCACTCAACGCTCATACTCAGCAACTGGTTGGGCTAGGTGATGGATACAGACTCCCAGATGATGAGGATGTCAACACACCTGAGCAGTCTGAGGCCGAGCCAGAGCAGTCAGATGATGAGGATGATGAGGAGATGGAGGAGGAAGCACAAGATGAAGTGTGGGCAGCCTCAGAGGATGAGGGCGACGATGAAGCATGACCAGGGAGTTGTTTTCCTTACACTCTACTCAGTTTTTCTTGTTTTGTCATTTTGTGCATGCACTGAGGACAATGCATAATCTAAGTGTGGGGTGGGGACTTGTAAATATTAGTGTTGCTTAGTTATTTATTTTATTTTAGTAAGTGTCGTCTTTGTTTTAGTTGATTGTTTTAAGTATTAGCTTAGTTAATTATTTTAGTTATTTATCGTTAAAATAATAATAATAATAATAATAATAATAATAATAATAATAATAATAATAATAATAATAATAATAATAATAATAATAATAATATATAGGAAAATTGGACTCTACTCTTCCCGACGATGGATCTCCTAGACAGTTTTTTTGAGGGAAGTAAGTCTAAAGAAAAAAACAAACCAAAAAATATTTTCTTGTAGGTAGTGTAGTAATTCCCCCTTGGTTTTTCTTTGGGCCTCGGTTCTTTTTCAAGGGCTTTTAGTTGAACCGGGTTTAGTTACTTTTAATTTTTAGGAGTAGGAACCACGGGGCTATGCATTTAATTGAAGCAATATCTCTTAACTTTGTTATACCTTGAGAATAGTTAGTACTATGGTTGTGACGCTTAGGCTCGATTTTTTACTGTAATATAAGTACCTTAAATTATAGATTTTTAATTTTGCTTAACTTCTTGGACTGGAGTGTCGCGATGAAATCAATTCTGAGTAAGTTATGTGTCATGTCTGTGTGAGGTTTGTATGTATTATGTGCATTACATTTGATGTCTAGAACTTGCCGTGTGTGTGTGCAAAGCGAAATAGTAGTCTTGTTCAGTCTAGGAAGTGATATAGGCGTTTCTTTGTTAAGCCAAATAGATATAGTTTACCCACCTAAATATTATGTATCGTAGTTAACCCCTTTGAGCCTATAATCCTGTTTCTTTGGTAACCATATTATAAGTCATACCCTTTTGTTTGAATTGACCATAAATTTGAACCTTGTCACCTCTCATGAGCACTTGAATTGTGATGAATTATGTAAAAGTTAAAGTGTGGGGTGGTGGATTGACTTTTGAGTGGAACAATTGAAATGAGAAGAAAGGTGCATTGTCTTTAAAAAAAATGATGTCAATAAAAGCCACTTTAAGAGAAAGAAAAAAAAAGAGATGAGAGAAAAATGATAATAGTGTATTGTATGAAAAATAATTCTTGATGATGGTGGCCAGTGATATACTTATGCTTAAAGAGTATGGGGTAATATAATTTGAAGTGATGGTAGAGTTTTGGTTTGACATAAGTATGGGCTTGAATGTTAAAGTGTATGTATTAAAGTGCTTAAGGGAGGTGTAGTCACTCATATCCAAATGTATCCTACCCGACCCGCAGCCTACATTACAACCAATGAAAGTCCTACTTGATCTTAGACTAAATGAACTCGATTAGTAGAGTATTACACTACGGGCAAGCCTATAGTGCATCATGTGTGGCATATGAATGTTATTTCTGAGAGCGAGTGAATTTTTCCTATCTTGAGTTCCTACGTTCTTAAAATTCATTATGTGTGGAACTAAGCTCTTTGATTGGGTGAGGGCATGTGATTCATAAGGGAAAGATAATGTCGTTGACCTCCATGTTAGAGTAAGTAAGTGAATTGTGAATAAGTCATGGTATTTGTGAGTCAAATCTTGAGGCGAGGATATTACACCTTGGTGCTTAGACTATTTTAAACATTTTTGGTGTAATGAGTTAAGGGAATCGCACAAAGAGGTTGTGTCTATAAGTGTAGCTTGATTGCGCGAGGACGCGCAATGTTTAAGTGTGGGATATTGATGTGTGGCTATAATTTCATAGTTTTGTACATTATGTGCCTTGCATTTCATATGATTTAATGATAAACTACACTTTATTTGTGTGTAGGTAAATTGAAGACGAAAGTAGAGCAAAAAAGAATAAGTAAAGTCTAAAGCGGGCTCGAAAACAATTGAAAAGAAGAAAGAAAGAAGTAAGCAGCCGACAATTGAAAAGCTGGCAAAGCCAGACCTAGAGGAGGCGTTAGAGCAGGCTGGGCGAGCGCTTTAGCTTACGTGGGAGCTGGCGATGCCAGGCCTGGTACGAGCTCCACCTCACATTAAGGCTGGAGAGGTCAGGTCTGGGGCGAGCTTCAGCTCGCGTGAAGCCTCGCGAGGCCAGGTCTGGGCGTGCACATTCAGAGCTTTGAAGACTTATTTCGTCTCCTGGTTTGACTAGGACTTGGCCTATGTATTTAGGTCTTTTCCTACACATATAAATAGACCTAAAAACTTCACTTTGGAGCACTTTTGCAACCGGAGGCAAGGATAGCTCGTGGAACACCCGTTGGGAGTTAGAATCATCGATTTCTACATCCCTTTATCCTTACTTTGTAATTTAATTATGCAAAATACTTTGGATATTGTGACTATGAGTATGAGTAGCTAAACTTATAATCTAGGGTTTTGATGGAACCTATTGGAGGATGATTTTTCTGTTACGTTAATATAGATTTGTCGTAGTATTTTCTCTATTTGTTCAACTATATTATTATTGTTGTTGATTGAAGGGCCCTCAATCGACTGTGCCTATTTAGTATGTATTATTCGGGAAAGAGTGCATATTTAGGTAGTTATTGAACAACATCACTCCTAACGTATATGGGGGATCAGTATGAAGGGTTTAAAGGTGGGATTAGGGATAACGAAACCTTGGTGCGATCCGAGTGGGCCGTAATTAATGACAGCTAGCGTAATTCGGGAGAATATGTCTAGTAAATTATAGTAATTACTCGGGAGAGAGTTATGACAGTTAGAGTGCTCATGATCGATAGAGAAGACTTAGGCAAATTTATAGAAAACATAGCGGAAAAGATTCTGAAAATAGGGAAAATCACAACCTTAGATCATTCCAATTCTTGTCTACAACCCGTAGTAGTTAGTTATTAATTGTTGCACTTTCATTACGTAATATTTAGTTAGTAAACATCCAAATTGTTACTTAAATATTTCTGAAGATTGATTGCGTGAGTTCGTGCGAGTCTAGTAATTGTGTTTGATAGGTTAATTCCCTGTGAGATTCGACTCCGGACTTATTAGTCGGAATATATTTGCAACGACCGCTTAGTCCTTTTTATAAAGCATAGTTGGGCGTGATCATTGTACTTTCAGATTTGTCATTGTAACACTAATTATCTGTCATATAACAGTTCTTGGTTGCATTAGCATGTAAAGTCATTACTTATTATTAGGAAAAGAAAAAGAGGAAAATATGAATTTGACACTTTATTCGACAATAAATATGCCTAAGTACCAACAGTAGTAAGCTGAGAGTTGTTGAAAAGACAACGAAGGAGGTGAGATGTTAGCTTTAACTGATAATAAAATTTATAGTATGTTTTATGACCGTAATATATGTATGTTCTAATTCTGAACATACGAAGGAGGTGAGATGCCCGTTTGAAATGAATTTAAACTAATTGCAATCCAAATGTGAGGCTCGTATTACAAAGACCGACTTAGAAAAAGATCTCGAAAATTACTACTTTTTCTCCACAAGAAATCCGAAGAAAAGAAAAAGAAAAAAAATCATGAAGGAGAAAATGTTGTTTGCTCATTTACTTGATGATCATTTTTTCTGGAGTCTGTATCAGCTGAAAACTAATTGCTTAATCTTTTCACAATACCATTATAAAAGAAAAAATATATTATCTTGCACAATACTTAGCCAACCGAAAAGTCACATGTCTAGAACTAAAATCAGAAGACAATTCTTTATGGGCAAAAAAGGTTAATCTAAAATGTCATACAAAGGTGTAAAAATGAAAAAAGTTTATGTACAGCTTACTGACATTCATTTTTGAGTAAAGATACGATAGTGCTATTGTCCACAATACAGAGAAACAAATTAAGCATAAGGCAGCTTTTATAGCTTAAAAATAAGAGACCAAGGACACTCTTTGTTATTATACTATTGAGTACATTGCTTGACCTCCCACAACTGGCATAGATATGCATCCACATGAAATTCTTACCTTATCTAAAAAAAGATATGCGGTTCTTATTGTTTAAACATGATCCACTGAAGCAGGCGCTGCTGGTGTAGCTGGTGTGGCTGGTGTAGCTGGTGCTATCGTAAACTGTACACCTCTCGACTGTCCCGAGTGTAACACAACTGCAAATTGTGTTGCTGCCAATGCTTCTGCTTCCTGCTTCACCAAACCGTGAAGAAGAGTTTTACGATCAGTTATAACTAAATAAACATGGACAGCACACTTTCTCGAGAGCAATTCAAAGATGCAGCAAATATTACGACTAGCTTAACTAACACCCACCTCTCTTTGCCTGCGCTGCTGCAAAATGCTGATGGCCCAGAGCATGATGTAGCAGGGTAAAAGGAAGCCAACTGCCCGAAGCAAGAAAAGCTGCAGACATGAATCAATTAGATCCATCGCCAAAGAAGAGAACTTATTTATGAGAAATAGTAGGCAAATGGCAACCATATAGGTATGCATAGCCCATATACCGAAAAGAAAGCAGTTGGATCTTCATCGTCTCCATCCGTGTCTGTCATAGGTAATGCATGACGCAAGAGTAGAAGAGCCATCAACTGTCAATGAAAATCATCATTTAAGTCTGGACAGTAATCAGATTGTGGGTAGAAAAGGGAAGGGTTAGACTAAAAGATAAGGAGAAAAGAGAAGTATAGGAATCCTGGATATCGGATAACCATAAAGGAGAGACCAGTCAATATAGATCACCAGCAATTGAGAAAGTCACTCTTTCATATCTTGAAGAAAGCGTAGGCTTTAGTAATGGCGTTCAGCAATATAAAGCTTGAACAAGGTATTGCACTCTGCATATTGGTTGGTCTCTCTTCAAAATTTCTTTTTCTAAACAAATTAAAATGTGAAAAGCTAAACTTCGGAAATGAAAAACAACTAAGCACAGTGGGAAAAGAAACGTCTGTATCTCTAAAAGCTTTCTTATTTCTTGCCTACCGCTTGCCCAAAAATTCAGTTGGATAAAACACTGAATGGGATTAGTGTATTCTTTTGAACGATATTTAAGGAGCATTTTACCCACTGCTTGAAGGTGAAACAAAAAGTGAATGAGGCAATGACACAAATGCTTGGTAAAGAGGCTCGCAGTGTTATCTTAGGAAATAAGTTGTACAAGGGCTTACAATTAAAGCAGCAGATCGGCAGAATGCCGCACCGCTTGCATTTGCAGAGTTGTAATCATCTTCTAGAAGTTGACGTTCAGCCTCTGCAATTGCCAAGAGGCGGGGATCATGTAAATCCAAAGGAGTACCAGAGATTTGCCATCCTCCTCTGCACAACATATGAAAGGCTTAAAATTAGTTTAGAAACTGTATAAGCACATAGTCTAATTCCACACTGACTAGCTAACGTCACCAACCAAAGAGGTCATCACATAAATCATGGCTTGTTTGTATTGAAAATATTACAGGTAAAAAAGTTCAAACAAGTTAGTTTACAAAAAACATGAAAGATGAACTAACTTAAACTCACCCAATATCAATAATTGTCTCCTCAGCCACAGTTCGAGGAGGTACAGTGTAACCAGGCTGGTATTGCTGCATATTGCAATTGAAATGAATTTTTTCAGAAAATAAATAATCTAATGAGCGTCAAGATAAAAGGAAAGACGTTCAAATGAATCAAGCTCAGTCTCAAATTCTCAGAAATCATCATGAGTAATGCTATTTATTTTAGAAAAAGTTGAACGTCAAAGCATAATGGGATAGAGCTAAGCAAGAGGGTGGAACAACTATAGGTGAATACTCCAAGAGACAAATACATATCCGAATGTCATCGTCTTGAAAAACCAAACTAAGCTTAGATACTATCGAGAAGTAAGCAATTATATTAAAGGGTAAATTACAGCTATTTCTCTTCTAATATCAATAAGTAAATCATATCAGAACTATGAGAAGATTATAGGGCAAAATAAATATTGCAATTTCACTGACCACTAGGTCATATCCTTGGGTACTTCCACATCATTTTTGAACTAGAAGTACTAGTAATCTATCATGTACTGAATCTTGTCCATTCAGCCTAATGTGACACATTAAAGTACAATGTAGCCCGTGCAAAATCTGCAAGCCAGACATCTCGGGCCAATATTCTCCACATTTTATCTCATAGGATCTAATCTCAATGGACTGTATATAACATCTAAACCCATCGCACTTACCAAACTACTCCTAAGGGTATAGCTATTCCTGTTTCAAAAGGGGAAGAAACCTGTGTTGAACTCAATGGTGGCACAAGCAAGAGTACTCTCACATTTAATGGGTGTCTTTTCAACAACCTCATAATACACAAGAAAAATATAAACCAACTGGAAGATTGACACATACCTGATGGCAAATCTCACAAGTAATATCCCCCTTCTCATCGCACCAGTGTTGAACACATGCTCGGTGTGCGAACTGCAGTTCAAGTTTTTTTTCCACCAAAATAATTAGCAGAGAGGCAAAGTGAAAAAAGAAAACAAAGCTAGAGAGACAAAAAAACAACACTTGAATTATCAGGCAATTAAAGAAAATTTGTAACTTAATGTATAATAAAATGGAAACGGTACAAAGAAGAGAGGTGCTACCATCTATGCAGCTATTGTGACAATAAGTAGATAAGCCATCAAATTGACAGCGCAAAAAACTTCGATAGAATGAAGATGTATACAAAGAAAACAAATGCAACAGAAGAACGGCAGCAGCAAGCATGTTACAGCTATATATCATCAAGTTCTGCCATGGAATCAAAGAGTTCCTGAAGTGAAAATAGAAATGTGATACGACTATATAGATAGCAGGATATGTCCTGATAACAGGAGCAAGGGTCATATATTGGCTCATTATGGTGGATAACCACAACTTAAGCAAAACCAAGCTTGTTTGAGATAAGGGCTCCCAACAACAGCCTTGAAAAGGATTAATTCTATCACTGCAGAGGCACCATGAGAAAATGGAAAAGAAAAAACACGCACCACCATCAAAGAAGACCCCCNTGCCAAACTAGTTGAGATCCACTTAAGGAATACCAATAACTTAAATATTGTCTAGGAGAGTAGGAGGTAATACAAACAGAAGTCAATGCAAGCATGAATGTTTCCAATTGCATCGCAAATACGAAGAAAACAAAGAATAGTGAACCACAACACCCTAAAATGTAACGCCACATTTCCTTTAATCCCTGGGAACAATTTTTCCATATAACTCAACACAACAAAAAGCAAAGAGATAAAAACTTCACCTTGAGACTTCCACTGCAAGCACATGGACTCTCTAATTTGTCCAAAGAATCCTCCTCCTGGCAAATCCTGCACTCTCCTCTACCAATTAATGGCACCTCCTCATTCGCAACCTCATTGCCCTCCTCCTCCACAGTCATCAATGAAGAGGGTCCCACCATTTCAGGGTTCTTGGTAACCTCTGGTCCATTCGGCTTCACAAGCCGATCCATGTACACCACCACACGATCTCCCATTCTATACCCAGATAAAATGACACAATTCCTACATCAAATTTACCAATAAATCACTTCAAAACTCATAAATAAAAAACACTCATCTCCTAATTTTTCACACATTACAAGATTTTCAACTTAACTGGATCCTCAAAAACGAAATGCACCACAAAGTTAAGATCTTTCTTCAACAACAACTACTACTTCTTAATTCCAAACTAGTTAAGATCTTTCATTACAATGTTAAATTTAAAAAACTGAAAAACAAATTTCAAGAATATATAAAAATGTGCATAAACCAAATCCCTAAAGATAAAATTATACCCATCAAGCCAAGAACCTCAGCAAGATGAAGGAATTTCTCAAAATTCACAGCAGCACAAATACAAGTCAAATGAAAATCAAACTATAAATTAATTAAACAAAATGTACCTGGATAAAATGAAGAAATTCAGGAAACGAAATACAAAATGGCCAAAAATATCTGCGGAAATGTAGTGAAACCAACCAAAAATAATATAGCGGTGTGAATGGTATTTGTCTTAGGTTTTGACACAAAAGTAATAAAACAAAACTAAGGAAGCACCAAATGTTTTTGTTGTTTTCTGCACTTTTAGGTGCAATTTTCAGAATTTTGGAGCTTAGAATGGGTCACTTTGTATGGACGCTTTATACAGATTTATATATGGTGATGATGCATGAAGAACATGTGGATATGTATATTAATTTCTCTCTTCCACTTTATTACACTGTATGATAGTTATATTATCTAACTTTCCATATGAGTTCATCGAATCCTCAATTTTGAATAAAATTTATATATTCAAAAATTATATAAAGTATATTTCCTCCGTCTCAATTTATATAGTAATTGTTTGCAGATTTCATTGGTCAAATGAGTTAATTTTGATTATGAATTCGAACATAGAATCTTTAAATTTGTTAAATAAAATTTATATATATATATATATATATATATATATATATATATATATAAATTACGTAAAAAGTACTACTAACTTTTAGTTGGCATGCATACTAAAAATAGATTTTTATTTTTACTTGTTACTTTACGCATATCAAGAGAAGATAAAAAAAAATTCATGTTATACTCACAATATTTATTACTCATTTCAAATTATTTTCTCAAATCCAATAAAATATGCATCAATTAATATGGGTATCATAGTAAATTATGCACTTCATTTATTATTTATTAAGGAACGTGAAAAGTCAAAATGTGTCATATAAAAGTGAACGGAGGGAGTATAATAATTAATAATTTAAAATATTTAAAATACATATTAAAAAACTATGATTAAAAAAAACTCATTCGACTCTTAGAGACTCAAACACTATCGCATAAATTGAAATGGAGTAATAATTAACAATTAAAACTATTTAAAATATATAAGAAAATCACAATAAAAAAAGCAACTCATTTAATTCTTCAAATAATATTATATAAAGTAGACAGAAGTACGTATATTTAGTTTACAACGGCTCGTTTTGTCTGCCTCGGTTTTGGTGCAGGCATGGCTCAATCTGGCTTTAAATGAACTTAGTGATCGATGACTTTGAACTCCTTTTAATAATGTTTTCTCTCAACGGCTTAGAATTTAATTGACAGAAGGGGCAAAGTTGTCTATTACTTACTTCCACCAGCCTGGCTACTTTTCACATGTTTATAAGTTTAATAACTCCAAATTTTGAAGAAAAATATTCTTTTGTAAAATATGATTACTTTTGTTGAGGTAAGGACGGAAGTGGAAGTGGATGTGATTATGTTACTGTAATGTAATAAATTAATTTTTTTCTCATGTAGCTGGGGAAAAAGTAAGTGCTGTGTAATTAACGAGTGGTATTGGATATTGCAGTTGGAATTATGGTCATTTATTAGTACTTAACTTATCCTAGAAACAAGAATGAAGTTTATTAGACATATTTTGAAAGGACTACCTACGTCCCTAATTAAAACTATCGATGTTTATTAGACATAGACAAATTTTATCCCAAGTCTCAACGGACCGTTGCTCCATTTTGTCGAATTACAGTTTCGAATCATTTACCACCCAAGAGAGACACTTCAATTCTACCCACACTTCAAAGAGAACAACTTGGTAAAGGAATCGTGTATTTATGACTATTGTGTAAATGGTACAATATCCTTGCTACCAAAAGAGACCAGCTCTTCTACATTCTTGTCTCTGCTTCATAGACCATAAATAGAGACGGACTACTTGAGTTGGGTTGTCAACCTCATTTCAGCAGTCCATACAATTGATCTCACTTCGACGAAGAATAGCATCTTTTACTTGGGGTACCAAGCAACAAAATGTACAGAGATTCTTGGCAGAGGCAGCTGATCCACTTTGGTCCTTTCGCCTTATCCACAGATGCAGGAAAATGGCTTCCCATCCTATAAAACAATCTATGAACATCTTCCAACACGTGTGACTATGTACTTTCCTTTCTCTAGATCATACACAGTCTTCAATTGTGGCTTTCTCCACTTTGACACATACCATGCTGTGAACATCACCAAAATGAAAAAGGCAAAGAAGAGAAGCAAAATAAGAGAGTCCTCACTGAACATATTTGCAAACCAGCCGGAATGCTCTTTGTCCGACTCAGCCGTGCTCTGCAAGATGAATGCTCCTAATGCCCAATCAAGTGGAATATTTTCAACTTGATTAGCATATCCAATCCTGCTCAAACGCATACATGAATTAAGTGGGATACTCAAATATTCCACTAACTATATGCTTTTCTTAGGAAAAGATTAATTGGAAGTAAACTGTATTAATTTTATGCTTTACTGGTACTTCAGTTACTTTTTATTTTCTTCTTTATTACCTTCATTTCTGTTACTCCAAATTTTCTCCTCATCTATGGTTTTTCAGTAGATTTTAACTATTCCCTTCGCGAAAGATTCAAAGGAGAGACGAGCCTCGGGAAGAAGTGGGGAAGGGTAGATAAGATACTTTACCACCATTTTTAAACTTGGAAAGCTATAACATGTGAAAGGCGTTTTCTCTTTCTTTTTAAGTCAAGCAGACAGCAGTAAGTATTGAAGAGGAAATCAAACGTTAGTAAGTACCTATCATCATCCAAACCAATTCCAAGACTATCATGAAGTAGTGCCAAAATATACGCTGAAGAGAAGCAATAACGATGCAAATCCTCCTCTTGAAGAGAATGGTACTTGCTTTTCAACCTTGACCAGTCCTCTTCACAAAAGCTTTTCCCAGCAGCCATAAGATCAGAAAGAAAAGCTTTTGGGGGCAAACCAAAAAACTGTTCAGAAAGGTTTGGGAGGAAAAATTACAAACAAAAAAAAGTCATTCTTTAGCACATCAAAAGCAAGATATTACCCACAAATAACACAACAAAATGCTGACTTCTATCAGCGCATTGGTACAGTTATTAGATGAATGTGCACCTTAGAAGTGTGGAAAAAGTTTTCTGTAGCCAAAAATTTCCCTTGGAGCTTTGGCATAAATGTTGACCCAATGTAGCAGCTTTTATAAGGGCAACTCTCTGCATTATGCAAGAAGAAGAGCTTCATTAAATGGTTTCAAATGAAAGGAAAATGTCTGATAAAAATTAAGTACAAAATTAACATCGCATATTTGTTCTATTACAGGAAACAATAAAAGCAAACCTTTGCCTTTCTGCAACAGTGATAATGACGCAGATCTGCACTCTGAGAAGTTGCCGCTGGGATACAGAGCAGATAGGAACCTGTTCTTATCCGCTAAACTACTGGGGGAGAGCTTCAATGACCTTAGGTTGTGTGTATATCCTCTAGGAGAACAAGGATCCATCAGCTTAACACTTTGAGCAGCTGCATTGATTTTCATAAAACAAATTTGCAAATATAAATTTTTACTTGCAGAACCATATGAGAACAGATGCCTTATTTAAGCAAAAGAAAAAACATGAAAACTGATGCATCGGTCCTCGTGAGAAGCAGGAAACTAAAGCCATGCTACAACCATAGCAATCCTCAAAAATGTCACTTGGATAACATAACAAATCACTTTAGAATGATGAAAAAAATAAATAGAAAACAGCAATTGCTTTAGTTTTTCCACTTCCTTCCTTTCTTCTTTTTTTTCCTTTTATTTTATGTTTCTGGTTGTGAGGATGCTGTGGGGGTGGGCTTTTAAATCAATGAGGAAACAGCACATTTTCAGTTATCCACAAATTTGGGCGTTTAGAGAAGTGAAAAGCTCAAGTGTACAGCAAATTTCACTAAATTATTTGCTATAAAAGCCAAACATAATGCACCCCCCTCCCCCCCACGCCTCCCAACTCCTGCATAGTTGCAAGAGCAAAAGAACATCTATCCAAAGCTCCAACTCTTAAAGCAAATATCTATACATTCATCTCATGGGAGTTAGAAAGATGTATATGCTGTAACAAGAATCAACTAACATCACACCATGAAGTACTTGAAGTTCATATAAGATTAAACGAAAAGAGATTCCAACATTACCTTGATCTTGGCCCCTCGCGACAAGGGACTCCAGGAGTAAGTCAAATGCAACGTTCTGCAAAACATCACGAGCAATGAAACCTTAACATATATCTATGTTTCATAAATATTAATTAAAATAGGGCATGATGGACAACGAATACCGGGTCAGAATGCTGAAAGTCCTCTACAATACAATTTCAAAATGTTGCTTTTAATGCATATAAGTGCTAATTAAGACTCTAGACGAGGAGAAGATCAAATTCACATCGTTATTAAAGATTGCTTGTTATCTAATGCTGACTAATTCTGCAGTGAAATCTTGGTTATCTAGTTTTTTGTTCTTTTTTTCCACAACTGGGAGATTTTTAGGGCTAGCTGGCACATGGTTGGAAACTCAGTGGATAATGGGCCAATCCCCCTAGCCTTCTCTATTTAAATACCAGGATTTTCTCTAGGATTTGTCTGTGGCAGGGTTCAAATTCATGACGTGCACCTTAAGCCACACATCCTGCTCTGCATTCTTAACACTAGATCAAACACCCAGGGAGCGACATTGGTTATCTACTTTGAAGTACAATAATCAAGTCCAGGGAGCAGAAGTGTTCCCAATAACGTTGAATCATGAGCTACCAATTTTACAACATTTAGCATGCAGTGCAGAATACAGTCACTTATCTGATCATGTAATCAACAATGACACTTAGGATTAGAGAATAGAATAATCAAGGAAAATCTTGCAGTGTTCATGATAAACAACAAGAGGATAGAAAGTTACCTGACCAAATTGAAGCAAGCTATGACTGTAGATCTTGTAGGTAAAGTTTCTGAATTTAATCGTCCGAGAATATTCATGGGGCATAGGCTCATCAGAAACAAAAGTCACCTGAATATATCATACAACAAAAGTTAATAGTAATTTACATGCTCTCATACTATCCTTGAGTTACATCATGCAAATTGATAAAAACAAATTCAGATGCAAAAAGAAAAAAAGAAAAAAACATAAGACAGCCTATTCATTGTGCAATTAAATTTTCTGTGAGCTTGAATGCAATTACTGACACTCCTTTTAAAAGAAAATGACAGGTCCGAACACTATTTTTGGCTCTCGAAACAGAAAACTGTAACAATGTCCGCATCAGTTTTAGATGACAAGAGTGCCTGGAATAGAATAAGCCGAAACATCCCCAATATGGTGATAAATTGAAATTTTTCAAAATAATGAGATCAACCTGCGCAGATGCACCACC